AAAAATCAAACGAATATTCGTATTTGACCTGATTGTTTATAGTTCATAATGCGTGATCAAAACCGAAAGTTTCTGTGATGACTGCCCTTGTACTGTTCACCATGTAAGAACTTATTCATTATGTAAGAATTTGTTCACCATGTAAGAACTTGTTCGTTATGCTTCAGAAGATTGGAGACTGACAAGAATTAGGCTTGAGATGGATTAATGATTGTGCATTGAGTATTGACTCCCCTATACAGAATTTTATTGTTGTTAACAACCATTTGATCAATAAATATGAGGGATGCCCTCTCAAAAAAAAAAATAAATCAGATCACCCCAGCAGTCCATAGGAACTTAGCAAAGTGGATTCAGCACTAAGGGGACAGAAATGGGAAAACAGGTGACACAGAGAAAGCTGATTGTTTAAGGACAGAATGTCCATATAATTTATCGCCTATTTTATTTTGAGAATGAAAGAAGATAGGATAAATAATACAAGAACAAAAGGCACAAACCTGGAATGTCCCTGATATAAACCAGCCCTCATGTCACCATCATCACAGGGAAAGGAATCCAGAGCTATACTGCAGTCCTCACTGTGGTGGAGATTTTATCTCTCTGTCCGCCTTTGTCCAAATGTCCATTGCTGATCAGCTCCCCTATGATGGACACATGCATTTTTTTCTCTTGGTTAAATGAAAAAGTACTTTAAATCAGGTATGATCAAGTCTTCTCTTTGCACCACCCAGTGCCTTTAAGGTGACATGTGGATACCCTTGATAGGACCAGGTGTGTGTTAATCTTATAGTAGAGCTATTAGAGGCCTAGGTCCTTCATTCACAAGTTTTTGAAGAATATCCTCCAGTACAGTTACTCCCAAATATCTCCTACACTTACTAGAAGGACATCCACTAAAAAAGTAGTATTCTTTTTCAGTTTTGGAACTTCGCATCAAGCAATTTTGGTACTTGGTAGAAAGAAAGCATGGGGTCCCCCCTTAACACCTTAGCCTAAAGCCCACATGTTTCTGTGTGGACATCCTTAAGTATTAAAACGTGATAAAATCTGTCAGAAAGTCATGGCATCAGTTGTGTAAGTTGTGATATGTAAATTATGACCCAATTTGTTGTGTAGCTGTCACAACTGTCAGGTAGAGCATAAAACTAAAGAAAAATGGTGAGCATCATCATCTTACAAAAAGAGATCTGTCCAAGCTTATGTTATCTATTATCCCATCTTTTCAACCATATTGTTTTTCAGCTGATATCTTACTTAGAGAAATAAGCTTCAGTTATCTGGAACAAGTACACACAATGCCAGATAAGAAAAGAATTTCCGTATTTTTTGTACCTTCCTGATTTTGAGTCAGAGATTAAATGCCCTTCCCTAGTCTGAGATTGTAAAGGCATTTTGTCCTCTTCTTGTAGAACTTGTATGGTTTCATTTTGAACACTTAAGGCTTTAGCCCATTTGGAATTTGTCTTCTGATAAAAAGTGACTCCAACTCTCTTTTAACATATGGCTAACCGCTTTCCCAGTGATGTCACGTTTATCATACATAAAGACCAAAAAGTGATGGGATCTATTTTTTTTCATCTTCTTCCATTGGTCTCTCTGTTCATGAACTTGTACCACCTTGATTTAATCATGAAGTCTTTGTAGTGTGTTTTAACATTGGGTAGGGCCAGCCTCATTTTATCTCTCTTATTTCTCAGAACTTTCCTGGCTCTTCTTGCTCATTTGTTTCTCCATGTGAACTTTAGAATCAGCTAGCTTACTTTCTTTAAAAACTCAATGATATTTTTGTTAGGATTGTGTTAACTTCATAAGTTCCACTAGGAAAAATGAGAGCTTTCTATTGCCACATATTCCAATCCCAAGAATATGAGATGTCTTTTCATTTATCATAATCTTATTTTGTTTCCTTGAGAAATGTCTTGAAGTTTTCATATAAGTATTCACATTTCTCATTTTTATCTTTGTACTATTCTAAACAGGGCCTTTCTTTCTTTTTAATCTTCTAACTTTTATTTATTTACAAAGACTATTGATTTCTGTTAATTGATGTTGTATCTTACTAAGTCCTTTCATTGTATGCTTTTTCTCTTATTCTCTTGGATTTCCAGGTAAAAACTCTTATCTAAATAGAGAAATAAATTTACCTCCTCTTTCCAATTCTTTTTCTGGTCTAATTTTGTTAGGCAATAGTGATAACAGTGGGTATCCTTGTTTCATCTGTTACATTAGCAAGAATGCTATTTATGTTTCTTTATTAATTTTGATGCTAGTTTTTGTCTGACATGTATGTTGGATGGATAAAGATATAGAGATATGTATTATGTCAAGGAAGTATCTTATCAGTTCTTATTTTAATTAATATTTTTTAAATAAAAAAATAGTTGACAGGATTATACAACTACATTTCTGGGTCTGTGGAGATGATCATAAATGTTTTTCCCTAAGTCTTCAAATATGATAAATTATACTAATATATTTATTAATACCAGTCCATCCGTGTGTTTCAGAATAATCTCCAATTAATCAAGAAGTATTATTATTTTAATTTATTGCTAGATTCTGGCTGCTACAATTTGGTAGAGGATTTTTACATTGATGTACATAAGTTCCATTGAATTGTAGCTTTCTTTTTGGTGCAGTGCTTGTCAGTTTGGTATCAATGTACATACATTATATTAAAGAACTTGGAATGTTTATTTCTCTATGTCTTGCAGCAATATAAATTGCTTGGGAACTAGATGATCTTTAATGATATGGTAAAATTCCCAGCAGCCTTGATTGATTACCTACTCAGCACCAAACACTGTGCTTGGTCCCTGGAGATAAAGAAGTGAATGAAAAATGGTCCCAGCCTTTAAGAAACTCATGGTTTCATGGAGGTGATAAGCATGTTGATAATATATTACAAAATGGTTTTTATGTTTCTATAATAAAAGTATGTAGATGAGATACTGTGAGACCTTAAACAATGGTTTCTCAAAGAAAATAGGGAAATACACTCAACCAGTGTGGGCATTACTCATGAGAAAGGCAAGCAGAAGCCTAACCAGCGTGGTTCCAGAAGTCCTGTCTCCCCAGATCTGCCTTCAGCTGCTCAAGTTCCTTTAATAGATGACTAAAGACTACTTCTTTCTTTTTTTAAATTTATTTATTTATATTTATTTTGATATCATTAATGTACAATTACTTGAACATTATGGTTACTAGACTCCTCCTATTATCAAGTCCCCCCCAATACCCCATTACAGTCACTGTCCATCAGCATAGTAAGATGCTATAGAATCATTACTTGTCTTTTCTGTATATACTGCCTTTCCGTGTCCCCCCACCGCTACCTTATGTGCTAATCGTAATGCCCCTTTTTCCCCCTTATCCCTCCCTTCAAGTTCTTTTAATAGATGATTAAAGACTACTTATTTCAAATTAGAAACATTGTAAGCCCTAAAATACAGCTCCCGCTGAGAAAGGTGAGCCATCCATTTATATTTACACTTAGAAAGAAATGATTGATAGACTCTGTTCCTAATGGTAACTTTAGCACAGAAAAAAAAAGAGCAAAGATTGTAAGGCCCTCAGTTCCAACAGTGAGACTAGTGAGGAAGTTCCAAAGGGAAAGAGAGGGCTGTCAACATTAAACTTTATCAAATTCACTCATTTGTCTGGTCTACCCATAATGCAATCAGGGAGTAGATAAGCTTCCCCACCTCTCTCTCTCTCTCTCTCTCTCTCTCTCTCTCTCTCTCTCTCTCTTTTCCTGCTCTTTCTCTCTCCTTGTAAAACTTTGTTGAGGAATTATACACATATACAAAAGTATACAAATAAAAAGTGGATAACTTGATTTTCAAAAATTGAATGCACTCATATAACCATTAGCCCCCTCAATCATTCCCCATGGGATACTGTTTTTGAACTTGAAAAATGAAATCACCTAGTATATGCTTTTTTTGTATCTGGTTTCTTTTGTTCAGTATTATGTTTGTGAAATTCAGCCATGCTGATACATGTTAATTCAGTTCTCATTGCAATATATTATTACACTGTATGAATAAACCACAATTTATCTGTCCATTCTAATACTGATGAGCATTTAGAAAGTTTCTGGTTTGGAACTATATGAATCCTCATACTGATATAAACATTCTTATCCAAGATTTTTCATTATTCTCCTAACGAGTTTTTAGCTAGGAGTGTAATTACTAGGTCATGCAATAGACATGTATTCAGCTTTTATAGGTACTGTCAAATACTTTTTCAAAGTGGTTGTACTCAATTTACACTCCCTCTAACAGCATATAGAGTTCTATTTGTTCTATATCTTCATTGATACTTGTTAATTCCCATCATTATCATTTTAGCCATTCTGTGCAAGCCACACATGAAACTTAGTTTCAGTACTTAGAAACCTTTGGCTAATTTTGGTTAAAGGACTCATTAAAAAATAAAATAAAAGGAACAGGAAGTTTTTATGTAGTTAAAAATTTCACTCATTCAGAGGATAAAATCATCCAAATGAGGCCTATTTTTATTTAAATCATTACTGGACAAAGTTCTAACTTTAGGAGGAAGCATTCTTTTAGATTTTTACATTTTTTCCAATATTGCTACAGTATTCTGCATACCACATTTCTAATAAATGACATCTCTAAGTGTGTGGAATAATAATTGTTCTGCATAAATAATACAAGATAATGAGCCAAAGAATACTATGTGAATTACAGAGAAAACAGTGGGTTGAACTACAGTAATTACTGGAAAAATTAAAGAAGTCAATCAGAAGGTCAATAAAAGGTAAAGAGGAATTAAGCAGAGCAGAGAAAATGGACACTTTTTTTATTGAGGTTGGAGCATTCCTTCTAAATTAAGATCATGAAAAAAGGAGTTGCAAAAATGTGAACCTTAAATTGTAGAATGTCTTCTCCACCGTGATTCAGGAGCTTTTAAACAAACTCTCCAGGGATAAAAGTGATAGTCAACTCTATCCATTCAAACAGATGCTGAATAAATCCTCTTATTATACTGGGGAAGACAAAAAATGGAAATAAGAGAGACAGAAGCAGAGGAATTGGAATGTTCTGAAATGGTTTCTGATGGATATTACAATTTTTTAGAACAAGCTATTCCCAGAATGTATTCAGACATAAGGGCTAAGAAGATAGGAAAATCTTGTTTTAGCCCTTCCTATTAATTTTTAAAGGTATTAAGTATGATATAGTAACATGTACTTCCTCCTGTAGTAGCACTTAGCAGTGTTAAACTGTCTCTTCCTCATAGACCATACCCCCAGAGAAAGCAAGGGCCTTTGAACATTGTTCTTCATTGCCCATCATAGTGCCCAAACCACTCAATAAATATTTGTTGAATACATGAACAAATGAACAAACAAATAAGGACTGAGTCTAGATTAACACTTTCCTTTGTCTTTTATTGACTAATCCCCATATTTTAATCTTTCATATCTTATGTTTTAATATAAAGGGGAAGATGTTGAGATCTAGTCCCATTATACTTAATTTCTTGTCCAAAAGGAAACATGTGCGCGAAGGATTCCAGAGCAGGAGAGAGGATGAGGCGGCCGACTCTGACCTTGAGGAAGGTCAGAAGGGCATTAAGAATTTGCAAAAACGCTGAGAGCAAACCACCAAATGGACACCTTAATGTTAAACATGTGTAAGAAACTAAATGAGGATATGGAGAAGTAAACATAATGTAAAGGAAAGTGTTTGAATACAGTAATTCTGAATTAACTATAAAGGACAGCAATGAGAGATGAGAGAAACTTGTCATAATTAAGTGACTCTATATCACCACAAGTAGGACAAATTTTAGAATATTTTATAAAGAGGAAAAGAAAAACTTATAATCTATGCTTGAGACCAAGAAAGGAGGCTGGAATAAGATGGATCCTTTTAAAATGAATATTAATGAGATTTCCTTAAAGAGCACAGATTGGCCAGATTTCTGCACTGTGATAAAAGGTATGGTCCTCACCTTGAGCAATGAGTAAAGATAAGCTTCTAAGGTCCCTGAACCCTGGTCCTCTGCAAACTGTGCAGCTACCAGTGCCTCAGCCAGGTTTTATTTTAACAACATTTACAATTTCCCTTTCAGTGGAAGCAAGGCTGAGGGACCATCTGAACAGATAATGAAATAACTGTGAAAGTTCAGAGCATGCTGAACAAAACAAATATGTTTTGCCCAATTTATGCAAACTAAACATATTGTCAAGGTTTTAAAGCAGTTTATCCAAAATATGCACGAAATACAGCAATTTCTCAAGTAGCCTGGCAGTAGATGAATTAAATGGAAATGTGCCTCTGAAACAGTTTAATCAGACTATATAGATATGCTGAACATTTTGATAGTTTCATGATATGAATTCATGAATAACCTCTTTGCCTTAAGGAATACCCAATTAAGCTCACCCTAAAACCACAACTCTTGCCCCTTCTTAATGGAGTTCTTCCAGTACAGGTTCCAGGAGCATCTTTATTTTTGAAACCTCTGTTAGAAAAGAAAGGAAATTCAGTGCTTGTTCCTTTCCCCATGGCAGACAAACCAGATCAGTGGTGGGCCTCCATCACTGTTGCTTTCACACAGAGGAGGACCAGGGCTCAGTATGTCCGTGGAGAGCTTTTCTACTCCCCAGCCATGGCTGTGCTGAATAGGTCACTGGATTCTGTAAACATCCAAAGTTAGAGATTCTTAAACCCAACTTTAATACATCTTGGTGTGTTAGGTTCTATAGGAGGACACAACCTGTAAAATAGTCTTCCAAAGGAAGGCTATCCCTGGAGAAAACTTTAAAGAGTTTTGAATGAATAAAAGCATTTCTGCATATGACAACTTCTCAATGGCTTTAGATTTCTGAAGGAGCAAATTGTGATTCTTAGGGCAGATCCTTGGTGAGGGCTGTGGCGAGTGGTGCTTAAAATAGCCTTGCCCTCCTCTTCTCTCCCGACACTCCCCCTCACCGAGCAGGTTCATTCAACGCCTAGCCTGTAGCTCCTGTAGCTCCTGAAAAGCAGGCTATACTCTAACTGGTATCTTAGAAAGATGTGACAGATACCCCAAATAGTCATTGATTTTTCTATAATGTCTTTGGAGCAAGCAGAGTAGTCAAACTTTTTACTCAATATTATCTCAGATTTTGGTAAGAAGAGTTTCTGCTCTTATGAAATACAAAGGGTCATCATTTTGGACTTCTTTTATAGTGACTGATCAGATTTCTAAGTCCTTTGCTTTGCACCTTTCCTCAGTAGACTCAGCAATAGCCAGTCTAGTTGTAGGGCATTGACATTTCTTTTGGTAACTTCCTCAACAAAAACCTAGGAATTATTTCTCATAGACTTGCCAAACGTACTCTCTACTTGTTGGGCATCCTGCTGGATTTATTGTTAGTAACAATACCAGTCAGTTTTATTGGGATTCTTCAGTGCCTGGAAAAAAGTGGAGACAAGTAGGATGCCTTGCAATTCTCTCCTCATAGAAAACTTGGCATTTTCTTGCAGTAGTTCTGGTGAACATGTTTTTATGCGCATTTTCTATTATGTTCTTAAATCCAATTTAGTGTTTAAAAATCTTAAGAGGTATGCGAAACTGTGTACCAATAAAATGTTCCATAAACATCTCTAAGAATGTCTCCTCTGGCATCAGACTGGAGAAATTTGAGTTGGGGAGGGAGGTTGACTGACAATATTGTTATTTTACAAACATATGTGTGGAAGTTACCATTTGATGGATAGACACAACTTTACCCAATAAACTTAATGACCCTTTATTTAATGCCATACTTATAGCCTTTGAATTTTATTCTTAAAATGTTCCACCCATTCTAACTCGAAGTGGGAAAAATTCTTGTAACCATTCTATTAGTAGGCAAAGGAAATTTATTATCCTCTAAGAAAAGGGAAAAAAACAAATATCATGGCCTATCACCCCAGTATGTAACAAAAATATTATATAACTTCTTTAGTAGTGTTAAAATATTTTTTTCTGTCAAGCCACTTGCTAAACTGAAAATCTATTATTCCTACTAAGCTGCATCAAGACTCATACCAAGTTCAATACTGTTTGTACCTTACGAGAGAATTTGGTTGAGAATAATTATACAATGGGCAGCAAATGAAGCCAGTACAATCCTAGTCCCACTCCGTCCCTGCCTGTGACCTTGAGAATGTCACTTTAACTTCCTAGGGCTCACCTGGAAAATGCATAGTCATACCTCCTTCACACATTGCTATTTTAAGGACAATGTAATATGAACTAACAGAGCCATACCAGGTGGGTGGGAAAATCTTTCAGGTAATACTGAAGTAAGTTTTTTAATTAACTGATAGTGAGTGAATATATTTTATGGTATTTTAGAAACTATCTACTTTACTTTCTTAATCTTATGCTTATCTTCAGGCCATACATTTCCCTTCAGTAGCCTAAAGTAAAATTCTTTCTCTTTATCTGTCCTGATGTACTCCTTGTATACCCACAGTGTACCAAGAGGTGCTCTGCTGAAGAACTTTTCATGCCTCATATTTAATAAACCTCCAAGTCTTCCCAGGCTTTTCATTCACAGCACCTTTCCTTTACATATTATCTTCCAGTTTAGACCCTCCCAAACTCTCACCTAAACAACTGCAGGTTCAAATCCACACTCTGCTACTTACCAGTAGTGTGAAGCCACTCTGTGGCTCAGATTCAGCAGTTGTAGAATAGCGAGAGAGTAAAACCCAGGACTGAGGAAGTAAAGCTCACTCTGGCACAATCAGGCGGTGAAAATGGACAGACAATCACAGACTAAGCCAACACAAAACAATGATTCTTCCAAGGTCAGCCAGAGCCACAAAATGCTTTACACCCTTTCTCCTCTTGACTAATTACTGCTTTCTTATCAGTGACTTCCCCAGGCTCACTTTGTTCCTGAAAAAGATTACTGAAATACTGAATTGCTAATCTACCCTCACTTCATGGCAGCATTCAGCCCAGAGTTAATTCTGTTTCTGGGCATCCCAATCCAGAGATGGTCCAGGTTCGCCTTTGCTCCTCCTCAGAATCCCAAACCCTACAAAAATCCCCTGCTGACTCCTTCTTCCCAAGATACTCCATGATTTCCCATGGTGTGGGCATTCCGTGTTGCAGCAAGTTGAATAATCCTATCTTTGTGGGACTGCAGTGTGTTCCTGATTGCTCTATTGGATGGGATTCATCAGTAGGAACATTCCCTTACAATATCATTCCCTTAAGGATAATGAGAAAATTAAATGAGACATTTATGCAAAGCACTTTCAATAATAGATGGCATACAGTAAGCACTAAATAAATGCTAGCTACTCTTTATTGTAGTTACCATCATTCCCATTGTAACCTTTTACGTTGTATCATTGTATCCTTGTTGATGTCTTCCACCAATCTCTTCTCTACCAAGTAACCCTACATGAGGCTTCAAATTATTCTCATCCATTTATACGCCTATTTGAAATTTTTTCCATTGCTGTCAAATAAATTCCAAACTAAATCAATTATCTAATCTCTGCTATATTGACATCTATGGCTTTTGTCTTCATATTGTCCCACAGGGAACCTCCACTCCAGTTGGCTGGGTTTTTCCTGGTTGCCAAACCATTGCTTAACATTTTTACCCACAGTGGCTTGTACTCTTACTCAAGACAAATTCCCAGCTTGCCATGTCCACCTGACCTTTTCTAATTCTCTAAATACTGCTCATCCTTCAGCCTACTACAAAGCCTTCTTCCTCCAGAAAAGCACCCACCTTGAACTTGAACTCATCCTCCCTGAACCACACAAAGCCTTGCTGCTTATTCCACACAGCATAAAATCACATACTTCTTTGCATGGTTACTTTTCTCACAAATACATTTTTATCTAGATTGTAAGCCCCTGGCAAATATTGGATCATGTATCTCTTATTATTACATGTAATTTTGTCATAAATAAATGATATCTTTCGAATACATAGCTTCACAAATCAACTTTTGCATTTCCCTAAATGCTATATTTTTTCCACAAACTCCTTGCCAATTAATTTGCACACTGAATTTCTCTAAACATGGGAATTCAAGGGTGGGCTCCTCAAGCATGTTCAGGGTGGGGTTTTCAATTCCAGACTTCAAAACAAATGCATAATTTGCATATAGTTACAGTGCCTTAATCTCTCTTTCTGCCACAAAATCGTTTTTAGAAAGAGTTGCCTGTACCTGACCTATGACGTTTTTTTTAGCTGTGATAGTTTCCCTTTAAGTTTCTAATTCGTTACTTTCTAAAATAGCATTATAGTGAATGTTGTGATTATTTCTATCTCTACTTATGTGCCCCTAAATTATATTAATATTGTTTTCTTTACCTCTTGAAGTTTCCCAAATTGTTCAACTTATCTTCTCTTAATTTATTACCCCACCTTTAATTCCCTCTATGAGGTCATTTTATAATATTTCATTTCATGCATTCTGATTTATTCAGATGGAACTATCCTATTTCTCTTAGGTTCATTGGTTTTGCTAGTTTCTTCTCAACATTATCTCTTTCCTTTGAGACTCTTCTGCTACAGAGTTCAGGGCATGTTTCCATTCCTATATCATCCTTTTCATGTAAGCCAAATACTTTTTTTCTAATCTTCTTGAAAAGAAGTGTAATCTATTTCAGCTTTATTATGGTGTTCCTTAGCATGTTCTAGCATTCTTAGAGATTTAAAAGCTCCTCCCTGCTGAATTAAGATTTTATATTCTTCCTTAATTTTCATGTCTCAAAAGACTATTCTTGAATAGACAAAAGAGTGGTTGGTGACTTTGTCCTGTTATGACTTGCTCTTAGCCATGAATAGTCACTGAGCCCTCCTATTCATCTTCTCCATCACTGACTGAGAACCACCATTCTAGCCTTTGTGTACTCAGGGGAGGTGCTGTAAGAGTTGCCAAGTTCATCTGTGAAACCTTCTACTCTACTTTTTTAAATGATCAAATATGTATCAGTTATTATTAATATGACTAATTATTAGTCCTGTCATTTCTCTGTTAGTATTCTAACACATGACTAAAGAAGACCTGCCCAACTCTTGTTGGGACAGAAACAACAAATTCAGATGTAAAAATCTAAGTTCAAGTCTGGCTTCAACCCCTTCTGGCCAGATGATCTTGGATGACATGTAGCTGCTGTGAACCTCTTTCTGCTATAAAGTAGAAATAACAGTAACTATGTAATACAGTTGTGTAAGTTTTCACAAATGTGAAATACCAGGATTTATTAAAGATTTTGAAGCTAATGAGCTGTGTTTTTTGGTATACTCATCTACTAAAACACACTCACACACACACACACTCTGAGCCCCACAGTGCACCGAACTGGAAAAACTAGACAATGATTAATAAGGTGTAGTTCCATTAAATTACCTCCTATAAGCAGCCACTGATGTTGCTTTATGGCAAAAGTAAAAGTTGGTTTCTTTAAAACAAAAGTGAAAGTAAGAAAAGAAGACAGGAAAAAAAAAGCCAAGGCAAGTCATCCTTTCTCTTGCTTCTTTCTTAGCGCTCCCCCATCCAATCCACCAAGTTCAGTGGCTAAGGTGGTTTCCACCCCCTAAATATATCTCACAATCACCCCCTTCCTCCATCTTCTTCCCCACCCACGCCTCAGCCCAAGCTGCACCAAGCTGCCAACCAGTCTCTCTGCACTAGTTCTGCCTCATTCCGATCCATGTGCTAATCCAATGACTCACCATCCTCCCGTGACTCTCTGGTGACTTCCCAGGTCATTGAGAGGCCCTTTCTTCAGGGAATAGCTGTGTGCTCCTGTAGCTGCTGCCCTTTCTCTTTAACGAGGCTGATACCTTTGCCTTTACAGAACTTGCCATATTCTGAATTGTTTGCAGATTAATTGTACATTTGCCTCATGTTTGCTCCCTTCTAATAAGTTCCTTGGTGGAGGCAGGGAGCCAATGCCACACACATGACAATTCCTTGGGATCTGTGTATTGAATGATGTGAAAATTGCAAAGTTGCAAAGACAAGACAGATGTGAGAGGGAGGAGAATGAGTTGAGGCAATACCTAGCGATTCCGTGCTGCGGGCCAGATCCCTCAGGGTCGTGCAGGTGTTCTTATCTTGCTTGGGAAGAAGCAAGCTTAGTCAGTATCTCACTTGTCTTATACCACCTCTACCACCCTAGTCCGAGCACCATCATTTATCACCGGATGACTCCATCTCTCTCTTCTTCCCTCTTGCCACCCTACCCACTACCTACCACCTGGTTCAGTCTCCAACAGTAGCCATCACCTTTTTAAGTGACTATAAATCAGATTATATCCCTTGCCTATGTAAAGCTCTTTAATGATTTTCCATCAAAATTAGAATAAAATCCAAAGTTAGTACAGGGGCCTCCAAATTCAGAAACCTTCCCAATTCTCTGACCTCTATCTAGCTCTTCTGTGCAACTGGAATGGTCTTTGCCAGGATCTTCCCAAATCTTAAACCTTGCTATTTATTCACATCTCAGCTTAAATGCACCACCTCATTTTCTTGACTACCCCAAGACTAGCCTTCATAACAGCTATCACTGTGACTAATTTCCAGTTTATTTAAGCGTGCATGGTCTGTCTCCATGCCTGTGGTGGCCCTCCCCTGTAAGCTTGCTGGAGTATGGCACCCTGTCCATTTAGTTCCCTGCTGATTTGCCAGTGCTTAGACCAGTACCTGGCTGTTAAAAGCAGATAGAGAATATTTGTTGGCTTCATGAGCACTCCCTCATATCGTGAGCAAGTTGTTTTGCAAATTCCTCATCTCCACTGTCATGAACATGCTCTTTCCCTCATAAGGCATCTTTAGGAACCACTTTAATACCCTGTGTTTGCTCAGCCTTTATGATCCACCAGATAGCCAGAAAGAAAAAGCCACCAAGAGTCATGCTGTGCAATGTTGAGTACCTTGAGAGCAGGTGATATTTTTCACAGTGTCAGCTGCAGTTCGCTGCAAGTGCTTCCCTGTTGCCATGGTAAAATCTTTCTAAAGCAAACCCAGCCAAAGAGAAGCTGATTCTCCACTGCTCCTGAAGTCTCTGCACAGTTCCCCAAATGGACCCAGCAAAGGACCTTGCTTACGGCGAGCACCCACCTAATGTTGATCTGAGTTAAATTGAATTGGGACTTTGATACCTATAGTACTCTGCCTCTGAGCATCATGTCAAATGCCAAGTTTCCAGGATTTCAGACAGAAGATTCGTGATACTCTTTGTTGGACACTAAATTCTCAGGAGGCAAACACCTGTAATAGTTTCTACCCATAATAATAATTATAGCTTACATTTATTAAGCACTTACTTTCATTGTCTCATCAAGGTGACAGATACCATAATTAGTTTCATTTTACAAATGAAGAAATAGAGGTTCAAAGAAGTTAAGTAATTTATAGCAGTTGACACAGAGAACACAAACGTAAGACCAGATTAAAACCCTGGGGCCACCCTCTTCACCTACACCTTCAGGGTTTTCCAGGAAGCCTACACCACTTCTTCAGGGTCCCTGGGGGAGGCGCCCTCTTGTAACTACGGGTGGTTGGTGATCCAAGTGCAGCTGTATTTTTGTCTGCTACTATCCCTTTGAACTCTAGACAATATAGGTAATATTCCTCTCCCCTACGACCCCGTAACTTTTCTACTCGCTCACAGGAAGCCACTTCATGTGTCAGTCTTAATTAAAACATTAGAATGTACAGTCCAAGAAATTAGGCAAAACTCAGAAGTTGCTTGAATCTGCTCTCTGAGCTTGACTCGCTGTGGGTAACCCTGGCCACGTCCATTTCTCGTGTCCGCCCACACCCCCAGCT